CCCTTTCCATTCACAATCAAGAAACATTTCCGATTCTCTTTATATTATATACAGAAGATCAGTTTAGCATACATTAAGTAAAGATTTCAACAGTTTGCTCCCACACAGAAACATAAAGTGGAAAATACTGTTTGAGTACTAGTTATAGCATTAAATCTCAATGTATAGCACACTAAGGACAAAGATCCTACATGGGGAGTAAGTGCACAGTGACTCCTGTTGTTGACTTAACAATTTTACACTCTTCTTTATGGCCTCAGTAATCACCCTAGGCTCTTGTCATGAGCTGCCAAGGCTGTGGAAGTGCCCTGAGTTCACTGACTCTGATCATATTTAGACAAGGCCATGGTCAAAGTGGAAGTTCTCTCCTCCCTTCAGAGAAAGGTACCTCCTTTTTGATGGCCCCGTTCTTTCCACTGGGATCTCACTTGCGGAGATCTTTCATTTAGGGTTTTTTTTTTTTTTTTTTTCCCCAGAGTGTCTTGGCTTTCCATGCCTGAAATACTCTCATGGGCTGTTCAGCCAGATCCGCATGCCTTAAGGGCTGATTCTGAGGCCAGAGTGCTGTTTAGGACATCTGTCATTCTATGGGTCTGCTGTGTATCCCATTTCCCATGTTGGATCGTTCTCTCCCTTTTTTATTCTATCAGCTAGTATTTGCAGACACAAGCCTTGTTTATGTGCTCCCTTTGGCTCTTAGTCCTATCATTATCATCAATTGTGAACAGAAATTGATCACTGGAACAAGTGAGATGGCATTGGTACATGCCACCTCGATGGGATTGAATTGGAATCCCCTGGTATGTTTCTAACTACCGTTTGAGGTAAGTCAGCTTGAGCATGTCCCAAACTGCACATCTCTTCCCTCTCTTATTCCCACTCTTATATTTAACAGCAATCACTTTTCAATTAAGTTTCAACACTTAAGAAGAATTGTGTATTGATTACAGTATTCAACCAAAAGTATTAAGTAGAACAAACAAAAAAAGATACTAAGAGGGATAACATATCAAGTTGCTCATCAACAGTCAGGGTGAGGGCTGATCAAGTCACCGTTTCTCAGTGTTCATTTCACTTTAACAGGTTTCCTTTTTGGTGCTCAGTTAGTTGTCACCTATCAAGGAGAACAAGTGGTAATTTTCCCTTTGGGATTGGCTTATTTCACTCAGCATAATGCTTTCCAGATTCCTAACAGGAATCACTTTTCAGTTAAAATTTAAACCCCTAAGAATAATTGTGTGTTAATTACAGTGTTCAACCAATGGTATTAGAACAAAAAAAATACTAAAATGTATAAAGTATTACATTGTGCATCAACCGTCAGGACAAGAGCTGATCAAGTCACTGTTTCTCATAGTGTCCATTTCATTTCAACAAGTTTCCCCTTTGGTGCTCAGTTAGTTGTCGCCGATCAGGGAGAACATATGATAGTATTTCAACTTTAATAGAGAATACAACCTTGTCATAAGCAATAAGATCTTTCTTATTTGTTCTTATTGTTCTACTTGTTTCTTATTTGTTCTAAAGAACAAAATTGAACATTCATGAAGGACTGTCAATCTGCAAAAGATGTTGGAGACAGACCTATTCTTCCTGTCCCTCCTTATTCTTATAAGTGCAACTATGTATGCTCAAAATAACACAAAATAACCAAAGGAGAACTCTGAAAGCTGTAACAATCAAGAAAACTGATTTGGCATATAGGACTAGAAGCACAGAGCAACAACAATCATATACCCAGACCCAACAGTGACAAGTAAGGTTATATAATTCATTAATGTGTGCTGACATACTAGAAAGGAATACCATACCCTATAGGAAGGTAGTCCAGATAGATGCATTCTCCCCTTGGATGGAACAAGATGCTGTCTTGTCAACATCAGGCCAACTAATATAAACTGAAAAGAGGCTTAGAATGGGGAAATGCCAAAGAGAAATGGCCTGGGGAATTACTCTTTTCCTCGCCAGGCTTGAGGAATCTGTTTTCTGCGGAGATATACAGAGGTAGATGGATGAAGGGAGCAGGCAAGAGGTACTCAGGCACAGCAATTGTCTCAGCACAGAAAAACTCTGTCCCAATAGACCTAAGACTTCCTTCCCATACCAAAACCAGTTGGGTGCACAGGCCTAACTAGCAAGATGAATCTACCAAAAGAAGCATCCCAACCTAAGAGTCAGCTCGGGTCTGAGATTACTCTCCACCATCAAGACCACCAAGAGACTTACGCTTACTCAGTCTGTGGAAACCTTTCCTCCCACTGCAAACAGCAATAGCAGGGATTAGTGGAGGACATACCAGAATCCTATAAACCAAAGAGAAGAAAAAAAAAAAAAAAACTCAAAGACTCTGAATTTTAAGCTGTTATTGGAACCAGAGCCCATAAAATTAGGATGGGAATATCCTGCTACCAGAGTCTGCCTCGTGAAATAGAATATTTAAATAAGGCCTAGAGCCTTCTTAACCAACATACAAATAAATCACAACTTGCATAAGACAAGACAATCAAATGACACAAATTCTGAGATTAATCAGATGTTGAAATTATCTAACAAGGATTAACAAGGATCTTAAATAAGTACTCATAGAAATGTTTCAACAGTCAATTAAAGAGATATTTTGGAGCATACAAATAAATACAGAAAATCTTACTAATGATATAGAGTATAAAAATAAATGGAAATGCAGAACTGAAAAATACACTAAAAGAAATTTGGAAAAATCTACTGTGGAAATTCAACAGTAAAGTGAGGACAACAGAGAACAGAATCAGTGAATTTTAGAATCAACCCAGTAGATTTTCCTAATCTGACCAACAAAGAGAAAACAAAACAACAATAAGAATCAATTGTCAAAGTTTTAGGGTGCTGTGAAGGATGAAGGATCTCATAGTCTTATCATCAGGTGTTTCAGAGAGGGTAAAAAAAAAAAAATGGATTAAAAATAGCTGAAAACTCATCAAATGTGCCAAAAAGGCATAAATCCACATTCAGGAATCTAAGTGATTCCAAACATGAAAAATCCAAAGAAATGTGAGCCAAAATACATCCTAATTAAACCGCTTAAAGGTAAGGATGCAGAAATTTCTTGAAAGCAGCAAAGGATAAGTTCCTACAGGGAGTGTCAACTCAAATGACAATTCGTTTCATATCTGAAACCATACAGAAGGAACTCACACAGAACTTTTTTATTTCTGCAAAAACAGGAAGTATCAACTGAATTCCATATCCAGGAACTACCCTTCAAGAATGAAGAAGTAATAAAGACTTTCTTAGGCACAGGAAAATGAGAAGAATTTGTCAGCAGCAAAACTATCCTTAATGATTGGTTGGAGTGAGTTCTTTGGCAGAAGAGAAATCACCCTTTCACCTAAAGTGGTAAACTGTTCATACCAGTAGACTATGATGTGTCGCCCATGTATATTGCAAAATTAGGATAAACTGTACCAAAACTGTATGCAGGGATATACTCAGGCTACTACACAAATCAAGATAAAATCTGAGGGGAAAAAACTTCAAGTCACTCACAAGAAGATAAGAAAACAGAAGTGGAAAAGATAACTAAAGGAAACAAACAATAAACAAACAAGCAAATTTAAATAATAATATCTTAATAATTATCTTCAGATTAAATGATCTAAATGTACCCAACGACAGAGAGTTCAAAACTGGATGAAGCCAGCTGAGCTCTAACCTGATCATGGTAGACACAACAGGGCTTAAAATTCAGCCCTTTGTGGAATTTTGTTTCTGATCTTTTCCTTTTCCCTTTTATAGGAGATGACTGTCCCTTTTTATTTCGCCAAAGAGGACCTCTTATATTTACACTGCAAGCTTAGTTGGTAAGTAATTGTCCCCAGTCTTTCTTTGCATGTTTTTGATGCACTGAGTACACTCAGCACACATAAGTAAACTGTCCTGTCATGCTGGGAAAGATGTGGAAGCCCTTTGCTTTCTGTGATGCAGAATCACCAAAGTAGTCCCAGAGGAAAAATTAAAAATATCTTATTTATAGCAATATGCATTTTATTGTGTCTTGACTATTTATAACCAGATAGTAACATCATTCTAAAGTATAATGTATTTCCCATTGTTTCTTTCATTTTAAAAAAAAAACTATAGGGGTTTGAAGAGAGGAATGAATTTTCAAAATTTTTCGCCGCGGCTCACTAGGCTAATCCTCTGCCTTGCAGTGCCGGCACACCGGGTTCTAGTCCCGGTCGGGGCGCCGGATTCTGTCCCGGTTGCCCCTCTTCCAGGCCAGCTCTCTGCTGTGGCCTGGGAGTGCAGTGGAGGATGGCCCAAGTGCTTGTCCCCTGCACCCCATGGGAGACCAGGAGAAGCACCTGGCTCCTGCCATCGGATCAGCGCAGTGTGCTGGCCGCAGCGCGCCGGCCGCGGCGGCCATTTGAGTGTGAACCAACGGCAAAAGGAAGACCTTTCTCTCTGTCTCTCTCTTTCACTGTCCACTCTGCCTGTCAAAAAAAAAAATATCATAAGGTGATATCAAAAAG